TTTTTTGTCACAGTAATAGAAACTCTAACCAAGACAATAAATATGTACATTATGAGTCTCCCAGAGAAACTACCATATTCCCACAAAACACTTTGTAAGTCTATGGCTCTACAGGCCATTCTGAAGGAACATAAAATGAGCTCCATCAAGCCTGACGATCTGCATGGAGGTCAGTCCCTCTCAACTCTGCCATCCCCACAGGGAACATTTCCCTGGCTTGGGCAGTGGTAGCTTTTCTTGTCACTTAGTACACTGTTTTGGCAGCCTCCACTTACATATGGGCTCTTAATAATCAGACATTGTTTACAATACCTGACCTCCACCTCTAAATAGTCCTCACTGCCAAGTTCCAGTTTTACATTCCATCTCCCATACATCCTCCTAGCAATCCCAGGCACATCCTAAACTCAGCATATCCCAAATGGAACTCACCATCTGCCCCTCAAATTTGCTTCTTACCATAGATAGCATCATATCTCCTGACCCACAATGGGGCAAGGAGAAACCCCAAGGGCCATTTATGACTGTTTTACTTGAAGCCCTTATCTGCCATAGCCTGCTGAGTCTCACTTGCAAAGTTCCCCATTGCCCACTGATAAACTTCAGACGTCTCACTCGAATTGCCTGCTCTCACATCCACCTCCAGGCTCCCCCCCACTCCGATTGTTAGTAATTTTTCAAACCATACCTGTGACCAAATCACTGCCTGGCATGAAACCTCTCCATAGATCTCTCTCACAACCCTTCCTGACCCATGTGTTTCTGGCCTCAGAGCCTCCTACATATCTCTAGCACACTATCTCATGATAAAGGATCTGAGAAGTCCTTCCAAGGATACAGGACTCCCAAGATTGACAGTCAGATACTTCCTGGAGCCTAGGCAAGTGACAAAAAAAATGGACTCATTTGTTTGTAGTCCCTGTCTGTCCTTCTCCAGAAAAGCAATGATGGTTCCGCCAACACAATGACGGTTCAGGACCACGGAGAGCGTCACATGCTCAACCGTCCCCCTCCCCTCCCCTTCCCCGACCCCTTATTTGGGGTCTGTCTACAAAGCCTTCCAGGCTAGCTTCTATAGCTGGTCCTTCACAAATCCAGGACAGGCTTCGCTTCCTCATGGAAGCCTTCCCTGACCCACCTGGATGACCAATCATTTCCTCCTTGGGGCTATTTTGTAACATTCATATTCCTCCATCACGCCAAACTCATTATTCTGATTATGTTTGTATGATTCCACTACCACTCCACCCCCAAAGACATGAGCCTCAAGGGCTCCTGCCCTGTCTGATTCATCTTCACTATCCAGTGCAGAGGAGGTGCTTAGAGAATGTTTGTTGATTAAATGAGCAAATGACATTTAGCAGGTGCAGGAAATATGTGTTGATTTGTATTGTATATCTGTTGCTCTGGGTGACTCAGAAACCAGCCAGATTTCAATCCTGCCGCCTGTAGAAAAGGCATTTTCTCCCTAATAACACCTCCCTCCATCCTTGGAGCAGCTTTCCTGCAGGTCACCACCCTAGCTGGGGAGAAGTCATCCTTACTCCGCTCCTGCTGTTACCACCCCAGAGACTCACAGCAGTTTCCCCATCCCCCAGCTTGGCCTGCCACATGAGTTTCACTGTGAACATTTCATCTCTGCTTCTCTCCTCCTCAGAACAGATGGCTCTGAATCCCTACTCATACAGAAGTTCCTGTTCCATCATTTGAACAGTTTCCCACTCCCCTCCACTCCCTGATACAGTTTCTCTGTGTAACCTTGACTGTCCTGGAACTTACTCTGTAGAGCAGGCTGGCTCAGAGATCTGCCTGTCTCTGCTTCCCAAGTACTGGGATTAAAGTTGTATGCATTACTATATACATGGCTCATTTGAACATTTTTAACGCTTTCTAAATTATAGATGCTTCAGTCACCTTTGGTCACGGCCTGAGACAATCAGAAACAAAGAGTCTCTGGAAGGACATTGAGTGATGCCTCTTTCTCCCTCTGTGGAGAGGCCAGTAGCCTGCCCCAAATCATTGTAGTACATGCTGCTACTGTTTGAGGAAGGGGATGTTTTATTTTTTTTAACTTTCATTGTTTTGGCACTGGGAATCAAACTTGGGGTCTTCTGGGAAAGCACAGAGCTGCACCCCTGGGCATTTGGCTTTGATGATCAGAATTAAATCATTGCTTTTTCTAGCAGTTTTCATGGCTCCCTGGTCTTAGTGGAGCCATGAATCAAGGCTTAGGCAGAGGATCCAAGCTAACCCAACTGACTCTTACACTTAGAGCATTAAATCTTGAGTAACTAGGAAAAGAATTGGGAAAAATGTCTGGAGCTCTGAAAAGTTAAAAGATGAGATAAAAATTCTGGCTCTTAAACCTTCCTGCTGGGGGTGGAAAGATGGCTCAGTGGTTAAGAGCACTGACTGGCCTTCCAGAGGACCTGGGTTCAAATCCCAGCACACACATGGCAGTTAAAAAATGTCTGTAGTTCTGCATCCAGAGGATCTGTGACACATTCATACCAATGCACATGAAATAAAAAAGATAAGTTTACAAAACAAAACCTTCCTGCCAATTCTGTGAGCTCTTCCTACACGGCCAATGAGTCCTTTGCCTCCTTAAGTTAGTCAGTCTGTCTCTGTTGCATGCAGCTCCATAGCCCAAACTGCTGAGGACACCCAGAGGAGCCAGTGCAAACCCATCCTCTTGGCATTGGGGTAAATTGTGGCTTCAACAAGCACCAGTGCTTCTTCTCGTACTCTCTGATAGAAGCCTTGTGAGCTTGCTGCCTCACAAGCCCACCCAGACACAGCAGGAAGTCACCCACTAAGGACTGGGACAGCCTGGTCAATGGCTAGTTGCAAGGGAACAAGTCAGGGTCAAGGGGCAGGAACCTAGACACATGCTCAACCCTCCAAACTGAAACACACCAACCTACAGAGAAAGCTGGCCTCATGGGCATGTGGATAGACATAGACATAGGCAGACACATCTTCCTGCCAGGATGTCTCGTGGAAGCTGAGTCATTCACACGTGAAGTGAGCAGGGTCAGGCTTTGGGACTCATCTTGCTGAATAGCATTTTCACTGCTGTTGACATTCCCAACAAACAAGTCCAGAGTGTCAATAACCAGGGTTACCCAATAAGCACCCTTGGGCGATAAAGGTGTATTCTGTTTACTATTCTCTTCTATTCTTTGTAGTGAGGCACTGGGGAGGAGGTAGGACCCGAGGGAAGCTGGGGCCTCTTGTGACTGTAGATGAGGTGTGTGGCCTTGTTCTCCCAGGGCCCCTCAGTCCCAGAACTCTGGCACTCCCCAAACTCATCTAGAAAATAATATCTTGTGAATCCCTGGCTGAGCACTGAGTCTTGTTGAGTCCTGGGAACTCAAGCTTCAGAATGTACTAGAAGATGTGACCCCAGACTATGGATGAAAGTTACAGCTCTGTGGCAGGCAATTGAGGCCCCCGTTCCCAGCCAATCCTGCTATGTCTTCTCACCAGGAGCATGCACGCCTCCTCTCTGGCCACTCTATATCCTTCCATGACTCACCATGCACTTCCTGTCCCATCACTTCCACCACAATGCCCTGCCTAAGGTTCCTTCCCTCCATGTCTCTCGTCCTAACTAGTCCCAAAGCCACCTCTAGACTGTTTCTGAGTCATGGGATCCCCTTTTTTTCATAGGAAGTATTTCTCCCTTGGTTTAGCCCATGTATTTCCTGGCCTGCTTTGGGCTTTGAGGTCTGAGGAGAGGTTGGAGTCTGATTTATTGCCCCACGCTTTGATGGGACCTACTGATATCCATCAATGCTTACAGATAGAACAAATGACACATCTGGCCTCCCTCTCCAATCACTGGACTCTGCCCATTGCCTGGAAGCTGAGCTTCACAAAGGCATGGGTGCTAGGTTCTGACCCTGGAGCTAACCCGTGAGAATTACATGGGACCTGGGCTAGGAATCTGCATTTGGTGACTCTCAAATAGAGCTGTGGAATCTGCAGCTGAAAGGTGGGAGGTGACCCTGATCCTCCAGTCCATGAGCACTGAGAACAGTGTCTGCTTCCTTCTCAGAGTCAAACTCTCCACACCAGTCCATTTCCTTGGAGTTTCAGGGCGGTTGTTTTACTTAAGCCCCAGATGATGCCAACTCATGGAATGGGGGCTTTTGTCCTGGGGATGCCAGCTCCTGAGGAGAGCTGAACCTGGGGGCAGGTGTAGGCTGAACTAGTGAACTTAGCTCCAGGAACCTGTCACAGCCAACTAGGGACAAGGGAAAGCCTTAAGAGGCAGGATAAGAATGTGAGGGCAAGGAACTGTGTTGAATGCTGGGGCCACTGCTCTGCCCACAGATGCTGGGAGGCAGGCACAGCCTGGCACAGCAGAGGTAGCAATGAGTGAGTGAGTGATTGCCTGGGTGGGCTCCGGGGGAGGGGACAGAAGCTGGGGTCACAGGCAGAAAGAACATGCCTCCCTGCTGCTGCCTGCCTGGAAGCTGTTGATCTCCTGCAGGGCCCGCTGAGCCCAGCTGCTCAGAACCCAGTGCCAAGCATGGGTCCCACCGAGCCAGCCCTCCCCATGGAGATGCCGGGGTCAAAGCATAGGCTGGAGAGAAGGAGGGCTACTTCCAGGGGTATGTGTGAACAGTCATGTGAACTGCTCTGCGTGTGACTGAGGCAGCTGCCTCTGCAATTTGCACGGGCTTTAGTGGGGTCACACCCCCACACCAGCAGCCACAGGGAATCCACTTCCAAGACCACGTCTCAGTCAGAGGATGAATTCTCACAGAGGGATACCCCTGTCCCCCGCGCCTTTGTCAAAAGGAGAAGCTGAGTCAGAGTAAGGGACTCATGGTGGAGATGCCCAGACACCAAAGCTGAGCAACATCCTCAGGGTTCCTGTTGTAGAGGCCACCATGAATCCCAGGTCTTGCCTGCCATCCGCCTTCCTGCAGAGGGTTCACAAGGCTGTAAATAACAAGATGGTCTAAGAATCCCTGAGATCCCAAGGCTTTGCACTGCTCATGCTTTAATAAGGGCCTGGCCTCCCTGCTGGGTGCAGACACAGGGCTCAGCCTCCCTGGAGGGTGGTGACAACTCAATCTATCCGGCTCCTGGGCTCTGGCAGCTCTCTAGTACGGACTGAACAAGTGGCTAATGTAGCTTAGCTGGGGTGCCTGAGTCACAGCCAGGAAGGGTGAGGCCACCAAGAGGATATGGTAGGATGGTGCCTGCTCACTGCAAGATGGGCTTCTTCGCTGGAGTGCTGGTGCCAGAGAGCAGACCTTGGTGCTCGGTGTTCCTGCTGGCTACATCCTTGCTCCCCAGAGTTCCTGTGGGAGTCAGAAGAAGATCAGCCAGCCCAAAGGAGGCAGAAGAAGCTTGGAGACCAGGCCTGGGGACAATCTATTACAAATCCTCGAGGTTCTGTTTATGTAATAAATCCCAAACCAGACCCTTCACTGCTGCCCTCGTGGCACAGAGCATTCTGTGACCTCTCTGGCCCACTCTGGCACTCTGAGTTCTGTTCTCAATACAGGAAGTCTGGAGATGCCCTCAAAAAGCAGAACAAACCCACCTCTGAAAACCCTGTAGGAGCCCCCATCTCGCGCTCAGTGAAGGCCACTGTCCCTTTGAGAGATTCCCTCTGATCTGCTTCTCTCACCCCCCTCACTGTCCCCCTAACTCCTGCCACAATCGCACTGGCCACCTTATCAGCCCTCAACACTGAGGCACATTCCCACCACAGGACCTTTGCACTAGCTGTCCTTGCCTCCTGGAGCCCCTCCCAACAAGTAGCTGCTTGGCTCACCTCCCTTTCCTTCTTTGTTCTTACACTCCAATGTCACTTGTACAATGAGGACCATGTTATCTGTCCTTGTCAATCCCTTTCCCTGTCTTTTGTCTCTGTAGCACTTAATTTTCTCTCTCACTTTTTTCCATTTCTGGTCTGTCTCTTGCCACTAGAGCATTAGCTCCATGAGGGCTCAGACTTGGCCTAATTCTGTCTCTCTCTGGCATCTGCTACCTTGCATGGCACATGGCAGGGGCATAATAAATCCTTTGGAATAAGCTATCCAGAAGCGTAGGCAGTCGCCAGTGTACCAGGCAGAGCAAGAGGGTAGGGAGTACCTTTGCCAGACTGCCTGGCCTGGGCCTGGTCTCTTTCCAGGTGCAGTGCAGTCAGTAGGAAGCAGCCACCACCCAGCACGATGGCAAAGACACAGCACAGGAAGCTGTGTTGCAGGCTGAGGAAGCGCTGCAGATAGGAGTTTGGACGCCCAGTCTGCAGGACACTGGAGATCTGCCAAAAAGAGAAGGATGTTTGCGAGGCCCACCAGGAGGCCCCAGGACCTTAGCAAGAATAGCACTTTCCCGAGTCACCCCCTCTCCCGCAACACACATTTAGACACTTCTTACAAGTCCAGTGAGGTAGGGGCTGCCAGCGTCTCCCAGGATGTGGGCCACTGTGATCTGGAGTGCCTCTGCTGTGCCCCGACACCTAGGCACCACTACCGACTGCAAAACACAGGAGTCCCAGAGGTTAGCCTCCAACAAGAAGGAAAGGGCACCCCTCACCCCATACTCTTGTTCCTACTTTCGCAGAGGGTAGCAGGCTAGACAGGTCAGGGGAGGATAGGAGGGAATCACTGATTTCCAAGACCTGAGCCCCACTCCAAGACTCGGTCCCTTGGGGCAGTAGAGGCCTCCCCAGGACAGGAATAGCAGGCGGGGGAGCACAGCACTGAACACAGTGCAGGGAGATGGTGCCGGGAGCCTCGCTCACATGGCTCCATGCAAGAAGGTAAGCACATCAAGAAAGTGACTTCTGGAGTCAGACAGTCTGGGGTCCACTCCCAATCCCTACCCATTAGCTGTGCATCTTTGGGCAAGTCGCTTCAGCTTTTCCCGTCTCCTCCCTAAATGGGATAATGATAGTGCCCACCCTGAGAGCTATGCTCAGTGTCATTCAGCTTATGCTCAGAACTTCACATGGACATGTCCTGGTAGCAGAATGCTCTGGGGATGTGTGTCTCCTGTCTGGCAGACCTTCTCCACTGGACCTGCTAGGGAGGAACTACTTATCACTTAGGACTTGCCCTTATCCACCTCCTCTGTAAAGCCCTCTCAGGTTTGGGGGCCTGTCTTCACATACACACATACATACACACACACACACACACACACACACACACAGAGAGAGAGAGAGAGAGGCACCACAGTTAAATGAGTGTATGCTCTCTGGAACTGGGAGGAGTCCTTTCTTCAGCCATTCCTTGTCTCTCATACTGTATTCATAACAAAGCCCCCGATTTCTCCTGTGTCCCTGGAGTGCCATAATACATAAGGAAAGGATGTGGGGGCTAGTGAAAATCTGCTGACCAAGTAAGACAATTAGAACATTCTGGAAGACTAGTCTCAGGAGAAAACCTGCCAGCTCAGAGCTACTTTGCACTATGACAGTCACAGAGGAAAATGCTGCTCTGGAGTCTTGTCCCCAGGACCTCAGTGTCTATTATCTGAGCCCATCTGATAATAATAATACTACTACTACTAATAATAATAAACAGCTAGCATTTAATGACTACTTCCTGCATGTGTTTTTATATATCAACTTCAACAAGACATGAAGGTGATATGATTATTTCCTGCATTTTATAGACGGGGAAAACCTTCACAGAGCAGGTAATTAAATTGCCCATAGTAGCCCAGTCAGAAAGTAATGGGCCCAGACTGGATGGCAGGCCTTCCCCTCCAGGGACTGGTCTCCTGACCCTCTGCTGTTGGGGGGGCGGGGAGCTGGCCATTTCAGCATACATAGTATTTAAAAGATGGACAGTAGGACTAAGAACACAGACGTGAGTCATGGTAGCTTACACCTTTAATCCCAATAGTCAGGCGGCACAGGCAGGTGGATCTCTATGAGTTGGAGGCCAGCCTGGTCTACATAGAGTTCCAGACTAACCAGGGCTATACAGTGAGACTCTGTACCAAAAAAAAAATAAGAAGACAGTCTCCTTAGTGGTCTTGCCTATGGTCAGGAGAATCAGTGTGTGACAGAGAGAGGTCAAAGGGGACATAGGAAGAGAGGAACCTGAAAATATGATTCTGGATTCCAGAGCCCCACCAGATAGCAGACATAGGAGGTCTGCTGGAAAGGAGTTCGTGGGTGGGCAGGGTTGAACTGGGAGTCACTGTGGACAGTCAGATGGTTTAGGGGTCACTGGGGTCAAGGTTCCTTCCCCAGGTGGTTAGAGAAGCTGGGCCTCCTGCCATCTCCAGGACCTGCCAGCGCTGGAGAAGGAACTGACCACAGCTCTGCACCTTCCCAAGACTTCCTTCTCACCCCATAACTATGTGATTAGTCACTGGTGGTTCCGGGGAGCGGGCCCAGCTTCCTAACAGAGGCCTCAAGTATACACACAGTTCCATGTGGGGTTGGGGCTTCTCTGAGTAAGAACCCTGAAAGCTCCTCATCTTCTCAGTATAGGGACATAGGTGCCACCTCCTTGCTTCTTCTGGGTGCCCATAAAGAGCCTAGCAGGACCTGGAAAGCTGAGGGGTGAGTAATTTTGAAAATGAGTGGCTTTTGGGTTTCCAACATTCCAGGTTCACTAGTTTCTGAGACAAAAACACCTGCGTTTTGGCTCGCCCTTCTCAGAAAAGCAGTTCCCTTTATAGCCCAGGGCAAGAGTGGTACATGCAGCCACCGCCTGGCAGAAAGCTGAAGAGACAATTACTAAGGACAGATTCCCTGGCATCTTGACTTCTGCACTCCCCAACTCAGCCCCTGTGATCAGACACTCCTGAAGGGTGACATGGTCACTCCTCAAGCATCTACTTAGAGCTGGGAGAAAGGGAGAGCCACTGAGGACCAGTGTTGGTGAGGCAGCCGGAGGCTCCTGAAGCAGATTTAGAGAGACACCTTCTTGGTCTTTCCAGGAGAAAAGATCATCCAAAGTACAATTAACCCAGAAGGAGATATATAGGGAGTGTGTGTAGAGATTGGGTTCCCATGAGTATGGGTGAACTCAGATAGATAATGAGAAATTTGCAAGGAACCTGCAGGCTGGAGAGATGACTATGCAAACCCAGAAGTTGTGCTAAAGACTACTGGGTCAGGCCTCTGTGGGAAGTCCGCTGGCAATGCAGTTCCTGTATCCACTCTCCACCCACCCAATCAGATGCTGAGAGCCCACAATCAGTGACAAGCTCCTCCAAGCCAGACTCAGGCAGAATTAAGTGTGGGAGCCATTGGAGCAGGCAGCCCTTGAAACCTCTGGTCTACAAGGAGCCTAGATTCTCCCTTGTGGAGAGGGCAGTGTCCTGAGGCAGGACTGGTGGGATTGGATGCCACCTCCTCAAGAACACACAGGGTACAGGTTTTAGCTCATTGCTAATCGGTAGGAACTACTCTCCATCTATCATACCTTTGAACTGACTGAGACACAGAGAGGTCACATGAATTGGCCAAGATCTCCCAGCTAGTGAGTGGCACGGATGGGCATGAAACACAGATTGCTAGAATGCTCCCGATGGAGTTCTCCTCTCTCACCCATCCTCAGACTCCAACTCCCCAAGAACCCACAGTATCTCTACCCTGCTTTCCTATTAGATCCTCTTGGTTCTTTCTCAACTGAGAGTGGTCCGTTTGAATAGCTCCCACTACAATACTCTCACAGCATCCGAAAGAGAAGCTCACCTTCTTGCTTAGGAGCAAGAGAAGGTCAGTACAGGGACCCTTCCTCTATTTCCTGAATAACCTGTCCCCACATAAATCTTTCCCCTGCCCTGCTTCCTCCAAGGGACCTCATTTTCTAAATTTTTCCCCTCCTTGTTGCTTGCCAATTGACTTTCTGGCATCTTCTGCCAGTCTATATATATAGTACATGTGGTAGTTTGAATGTAATTGACCCCCATAATCTCACAGGGAGTGGCACTATTGGGGGGTGTGGTTTTGTTGGAGTAGGTATGGCCTTGTTGGAGGAAATGTGTCACTGTGTGGGTGGGCTTTGAGGTTTCTTATGCTCAGAATACCAGTCAGTGTGCCAGTTGACTTCCTGCTGCCTGCAAGATGTGGGACTCTCAGCTTCAGCACCGTGTCTGCCTGCATGCTGCCATGCTCCCCATCATGATGGTAATGGACTGAACCTCTGACACTATAAGCAAGCCACCCCAATTAAATGTTTTATTTATGAGAGTTGCCATGGTCATGGTGTCTCTTCATAGCAATAAAAACCCTAAGACAGTACTCTTATAAACCTGCACCTCTCTACGGCACAGGGAGCCCCTTATAGGTCCTGAGACCATGCCCTCCTGACACCTGTCCTGTTTTTCTGCCACAGAGCTAGAAACACAGGAGCTGAAAAGGCTGGACTTCCATCCCAACCCCCTGTCTAGTACAGAAAGATCATTGCTAGCTACTGGGCTTAGGACAGGAGAGAGGCAGGGAAGACAGCATTGAGCTGGCTAGAGCAGAAGCCTCCAAACCATGGAGGGCTCGGAGAGTTGTAAGCTGGGTTGCATGTGGTCAGCCAGCTCCCCCACAGTCGGATTCTTGCTGGCCCCCAAAACCACACACTCTTCTTCAACACTGCAAAGTGCCTGGCTCTGGCAGGTTAATGATTCCGGCAGACACAGACACAGTGGTACCATGTAGCCTTCACATATCTTCGAGGCTGTCACATGGAAAAGAGATCACAGTGTGGGGCAAGTGGAGGAAGCTGTGGGGGGGCAGGTTCGGCACTGCTTGAACCGCCTGAGAGAGGATGAGCTATGTAGAGGGTGGGTGTTCCCCCTAGGCTGTCTCATTTACCCCACAAGGCAGTTAATGATTAGACCTTTTTATAGGCAAGGAAACTGAGTTCCAGGGTCATTTGCCATGTCTGTGGCTAAATCTGGGCTGGAGCCCAGGTCTCCGGTGCAGGGGGGGTGGGCAGGGAAGACAGGCTATCTTAGCAGCTGATATGTCCACTAGAGCCAAAGACAGGGGTGAGTCTGGGTTACAGCAGGTAGTGAGAATCCTGTTAACTTAGTGTTCAAGCAGACCTTGTTGTCTGATTAAATGACATATGCCCATAGTCCTTCCAAACTCAGATTCTAGACTCCAAGACATCTTTGGGCTGTAGAAGAACCATGGAAATCTCAGGGTCACAATGAGAATCCTACCCATCAATCCTTGTGTCAGATACTGGGCTAGACTTTCTATGAGTCATCTCCCCCCTCCCTCACCCCCATGCTCACAACAGTGGTGCTACCATTCCATCCCCATTTTCCTTATGGGGAAACTGAAGCTCAGAGATACAAAGCAACCTGCCTAAAGTCACACAGCTAGTGAGTGGCAGAAGCAGGGCTAACGCCCAGGTCTGTAACCAAAGAGCTTTCTACCTATGGCTTGGCCATCCAGAACCCTCCACCCACATGCAAGACTGTGCCAGTCTGCCAGGAGGCAGCAGGAGGACCCTGAGGGTGTCCCTAGACCTAGGAACCTTGTTATCAACCAGGGTTCAGACTTTCACAATGTCCAAAGTCCTTGTGCCTCCTCAGAGGAGGCAGAAAGGCTGAACACAGTGTAGAGCTGAGGAAGGATCAGGCTGAACTCTGAACCCGAAAGCCGTGTAGTGGACAGCATCAGGTCTCACCATAGCACACCCAGCTCTTTGTGTGATCCGCGATGTGGGATAGGCTGAAACCAGTAGGGTTTAGTGGCTAGTGCTCCTAAGCCCAGTGTCCCTCTCTGTGGCCCTAGAGTACAGGCCAAGGAGCCCACTTGCTGAGAAGTAGCTCGATGAAGAAGGAAGGAAATCCTATGCACCAGCCCTAGCTCAGAGCCTTGACACCATGTGACCTTAGTCCAGGCACCTGCCCTCTCTGAGCTTCCATGTCTATGTACAGAATAGAGACAATAGAGGAAACATTTGAGAGTGTTCGTAAGGGGGCATTTTGTCTACGGAAACTGTGAAGTACCCTTAACCCCCTCCCCCATGGCCCCTGAAGTCCTTCCCAATACCCAGTCTACTCAAAAGTGCCAGGACCAAATTGCGACCCATACCTACCAACAGGATATCAGCAACCACTGCCCAGTTGCAAGACAGAAGGAGCTCGCCGAGGGCCAGGAACACCTGTGGACAGAGGAAGTCCTGGATGAGACTGCCCCCGCCTCAGGCACCCACCCCTCCCAAGTCTCTCCTCAGTTGTGCAGAAGGGAAACTGAGGTCCCCAGAGGAAAGCATATGGAGACAGATAGGTGGGAGGGGTCTGGAACAGTAGACCCCAGGATATGATAGGTTGCCACTGAGAGCCCCAAGATGAATACCAGACTCCAGTTCTGACAACCCTAGTTCATGGCCCCAAGACCCAGCCCTTGAGGGTCACCCATGAAGCCCAGAAGGAGGAGGCAACAGTGCTGGTGAGGCATTTACAAATGTGTAGGCCCAGGACAAGAAGGGCAAGGTCTCAGCTCGCCCACTCTGTTTTCTCCTGAGAACTGCAGACACCAGTAAGGCCCTGCAGACCTCTCCAATGGTTTCTCCTAGGCACCTTCCCCAGACCCTCTCAGAGCTAGCCTTAGCACAGCCATTGTGTAGACAAGGGTAATTCCTATTCAAGGCCAAGGTTTTTCTCAGGTCATAGCTGCCCGAGGGCAAAGCCAACCTGAAACACAAGGTTTCAGGCCCCTGTCCAGTGCCCACCTCCTGCCTTGGTCCCTGTGTTCTCTGCTGCTGGCAGAGTCTTATCCAGCTTTCTGAACCATGCTATCTCGTGCCAGAGGATTAGGACAATCCTCATTCCCCTCACTCAAGAAAAGCTTAATGAAGCAACTGAAGAAAGAGAAGGAAAGGCTCATTTCTCCCAGCTCCAGAGAGCTCATGCCAGGGTGGAATTAGTCATTCCTGGAGTCACGGGTTATGCTCAAAGCAGCACAGGCTTGGGAACTCAATAGCTTGATTTCCCAAAGGCAAAGAAATGAAAAACCACCACCAGAAAGGACACCTACTATATGCCAGGGGTCACCACTCCATCCCTCCTCTCAGGGCAGGTAATTTGATAAGGTTATCATCACACCCATGCCACAGATCAGGGCATGCAGCACCAAGGGCCACTTTCCAGAGAAACCCTCTCCTCTATGTCTGGATTTGTCTATGGTGAGACTGGGAAAGCCTTTGGCCTAAAAGAACTCCCAGGAGCCTCCAAAGGTTACCATGCCTTTAAAGACTGGTGGGAGGAATCTGACAGAGAGGGAGCCCTGGGCAGAGCTGACCCTAGCAGATACTGAGGCAGTCAGGATGGGCTAGCAAGAACTGCAGGAACCCAGGAGGCAGAGCCCCACAAACAATGCCTGGCCGACAACCCTTGTGAGTGGTGACAAGAGGCTGGAATGTGCCACCACACTGGGTGGAGCAGGAGAATAACCGATCTGGTGAAGGAAGAGTAAAACAGAGACTAAGCGGCTCTTGTGATCTCTCTGCCCAACCCGACTGCCTGTGGCTGCTGCTTTTGGCCCTTGATACCCAAACTGGGAGGATCTTGAGGTCAGGGTGGGTCTCCTTCTAGGCTTAGGACAAAGCTTGAGCACCCACAGTAGTGGGAAGCAGGAAGTCACTGGTGAGCAGGACTTGGGTGAGGCCCAGGCAGCTACAGTTCTGCATTCCATCTTGGCAGGGCCTGTCAACCCAGATTCTGGACCACATGAAAGGCTGGCCCAGTGCACCTGTCCTCCCTACAGTGTCATCAGTCCACCTTTACCTGATCCAGAAGCCTCTCCTCTCAACGTACTTCATTCAGCCCGCCTCAGGCCTCTCTTCCTCCATACCGGCTGGACACCCACTACCAGGGGGGCAAACACTCCTGTGTGGTATCACCCCTGCCCTCTCCACACCCACAAGACATGCTGAAATATACCTTTTCCTTCTTCCAGCTGGACTAGGGTGGATCCTGGTCCCAAAATAGAGCCCCTTAGAGAGAGGCTACAGCCACAATGGGGCCTTTCAAGATGATCAAGCTGCCTAGGGGTGCCAGGTTTCCTCAGACACACCTGGAAACAGGCACTATGCCACCAAATCCATCACTCTTCTTGCGGCTTCGAGGGGCAGAGGGCCAGTGGAGAGAGCCTGCCTTCTAATCCCATAATTACAGAGGCTCTTGAGGTAGTACAAGCTTACCCTTCTGGGCTCAAAGAGTGGCATTGTCGCAAAGGGTGGGACACCTGCTGGGAGACCTTGGTCCCTCTGGGCCTTGGTCTCCATCATTGTACAGTGATATGGGGGAGCCTAGACAGGCACCGACATACTGTGCTTCTGCAGCTGAAAGCCTAGTTACACACCCGTGTGGTTCCCATAGGCAGGGTATAAATCCAGCTTTCATTCAATTACTTCCATGATAGAGTCAGACTTAGCTTCAAATAAAAAACAAGCAAACAGAGCCAGCCATGATGATGTATGCCTGTAACCCCAGCACATATCTGTAACCTCAGCCATGGTGGTTCATGTCTGTAACCTCAGCCGTGGTGGTGTGTGCCTGTAACCTCAGCACATATCTGTAACCTCAACCATGGTGGTGTGTGTCTGTAACCTCAGCACATATCTGTAACCTCAACCATGATGGTGTGTGCCTGTAACCTCAGCACATATCTGTAATCTCAACCATGATGGTGTGTGCCTGTAACCTCAGCACATATCTGTAACCTCAACCATGATGGTGTGTGCCTGTAACCTCAGCACATATCTGTAATCTCAACCATGATGGTGTGTGTCTGTAACCTCAGCACATATCTGTAACCTCAACCATGATGGTGTGTGCCTGTAACCTCAGCACATATCTGTAATCTCAACCATGGTGGTGTGTGCATGTAACTTGCCATGGTAGCACATATTTGCAACCTCAGCCATGGTGGTGTGTGCTTGTAACCTCAGCACATTTTCCAGGACAGCCTGGGCTATGTAATAAGATCCTGTATAAAAAAAGGAAAGGAAGAAAGAAGGAAAGAAGAAAGAAGAAAGCAAAAGAAAAGAAGAAGCGAGGAGATGGCCCTGCAGGTAAACACACTTGCTATCAGTCTTAGGATCACAGGCTTGGGAACTGGGGTCCACATGGTAAAAGACTTGTATTGTGGCACACACACACACACACACACACACACTTTTTTTTAAATAAAGTAAAGAAAGAAGCCAGGCATGGTAACTCACACCTTGTAGTTAGTCCCAGCACTTGAAATGTTGAACCATCCTGAGCTACAGAGGGAAACAGAATAGAAAAAAGAAAGATCAAGAGAAAGGAAAAGAAAGCAAACAACAAATACACTAAGGGATTGCCAAGGTGGCTGAGCAGGTAAAGGCACTTGCCAGCAAGCCTGACAACCGGAGTTCCATCCTGAGCTGGGTACCAAGGATGGAAGGGAAGAGAACCAACATCCTCAACTGTCCTCTGACCTCTGACCTCCACACATGTGCCATGGCATACACACACACACACACACACACACACACACACACACACACACACACACACACACACCCACATACAGCAAATAAATAAATGTTTTTGTTTTTTAAAATCTCCAGTCTTGAAGAATTTGGTCAGCTGCTCATTTCGCAGGTCCATGTGCCTCCTGGACAGTCACACACACCTCACACTGACATGTCCCTGCCTTGCTTCCCCTCAGTCCCTCCCCACTGCTCCTGCCCAGTGTGGTTGAGTCAGTCAGGTACAGACCAGCTCCCAGTGGCTGCCAAGATGCTTCCCTTAGGTTCAGGGAGGCAGGCAGATCCCAGTGCTGGCTGAGCCTGATTGACTCTTCATTCTGCATCCTAGATGCTCCCTGTGATCATGGCTTGATCCAGGCATCTCCAGTTTCTCAGGCCCCATCATCTCCCTCAACACCCTGCCCAGAGGGGACTTCCAAAGGGGAAATCTGATTCTGCCTTTGGCTCCTCCTCAAGGCCTGGTGGCTTCCCTGTGCCCTGACTTAGTTCCTGATGGGTATGAGGGCTTGGGAACACTGCCTGAGGCCTGAGAAATGGACTGTGCTGGAGAGCCCCTGACCTCTGACCTTTCATCTTCGAGCTAGGCCAGTGATAACTGATATGTTTGGCTTTAGTCATCCTAGCCAGAGAAGCTTGCACACATACCACCCATACTCACACTGTCACCCCTACACACATACCACACACGCATGCAACAACATAAACATAACAGACATTCCTGTAAGGCCACATACATGTTCATGTAAGCACATGCGCACACAGTCAAAACCTGAGATACACACAATACTCACATGTCAATATACACACATATGCAGGTAACAGAGGACGTACGCAAAATATCAAAAACAAGTGTGGTACCAGGTATGGAATTATCCTTATAAGTTCCAGCTACTTGGGAGGCTGAGGTAAGTAATCACTTGAGTCCAAGAGTTTGAGCCAGTCTGGGCAACATGGTAAGACACTGTCTCAGAAACAAAAAACAAACTACACAATAAAGGCACGAATTAGTACTGGTCTTAGTACAGTTATAGGCTGAGCACTAGCTGAGGAGCAGCCTACCATGCACTCACACAACATTGTGGTCTTGTAACAGTCAGGAAAATCTCAATCTCTCTCTCTCTCTCTCTCTCTCTCTCTCTCTCTCACACACACACACACATTCTCTCTCTCTCTCTTTCACACACACATACACTCTCTATATATATATACATATATATATATACATTCATGCATAAAACACATGCACACTCATGCCTTCACAACTCTCATCAGACATAAACACAAAGGTAGGCACACACACACAGAAGGGAAGATGAAGGGTCAGGGTCAGTCCCCAAGGACCTGTGTCCTCAACCTGAGCCCATCTCAGCCTCCAAACTGGACAGATAGTGGTCTCTGAAGAATGAATTCTAACACTCATTGAGAAGGGAGAAGGCCACAGTCCCCTCTGAACGCATGGTACCTAGGAAAAACTAAACAAACCTCCTCCATTTATGCATCAGTGCCACATTCAGCATGGTTGAGTTAGCCAGGATACAGACCCAGACTACAGCCTGGCTGCCAGCAAGCTCTGTGTGGCTGGCATGCTCTACCCATAGTCCTGCCAACCTGTAATGGCAGGGACTGGCATGGGACACAAG